TCGTCCCAGACTTTTGTGTTTCGCTCAATTTAGTCCTCCATTTGTTATTCCTTCAAATTGGTGTTAAATAAAGAGACAATTCACTAATATCAATATTGATCTCTCTTTACTTTCAACTTGTGAAGTGCGAAATTCCTCTTTCTTGTACGAATTACACCCAGAATTACTCCCGGACCTGCAAATCAAATTTTATATTCGCAGTTTTAGGAGTAATTCTGGGAGTAATTCGTAAAAAAAAGGGATTTCGTAGTTCACATGTCTATGAGTAAAGAGATGCCAATATTAAAATTACTGAATTGTCTATTTATTTAACACCAAATAGATAGAATAACAAATGGGGGACTAAATTGAGCAAAAACACAAAAGTCTGGGACTAAATTGAGTGAAACACAAAAGTCTGGGACGATATTAGGTCACCAAAGTCGTTTAGGACGAAATTGAGAAAAACCACTATAGTCGAGGATGATTTTGGGTATTAACTTAGTCTACAATCTACAATCCCAGGTCGGTTTCGAGTTCGGATCCTGAGCCTGATCTCCTTGTTGATTTAAGGAATATATCACGGTCAACGTGACAGTGAGTTAGAGATCTCCGAGCATAAAGCTATATCGTGAAAATAGCCAAAAGTCCTTTCTGACAGCAATAAATATGGTATTTATAGTAGTATCTAGGGGACAAATTCTAAGCCGGCGGCATGCACGGGTCCTAGTTGGGGTCCTTAGCCGTGTGTGACAATGTTTCTGAGCGCACTGTCATGCTACTATGATATATTCACCTGTCTGAGGCTATTTTACAATGCTGTACTATATAATTATAGGATGGAGATTGATCTTGGAGTTGATTCTCACAACTGTACTGTTGTCTCCCATTTCAGGAAGACAAGAACCTTTCTTATTATATGTACTATGTATATATATTCAGAGGATAATAATTAAGTTTTACAACACACTGTAATAATGTTTATAGCCCAAAAATGGAGTTCTTTTCTAAACACCTCTGCAGGATATATGATTATATGATATGTCATACAACATTGTCTTCATAGGATACTAGGAAAGAAAGAACAAGAATACAACATAAACCACAGATTCTTCACCTGCCTGAGGCTAGCTAGCTACCTCCTTTTAATCAGTTCCATCCACTCAGAATCGGTGGGCGAATTGTATTTACGGCTGCACCCATGAATGATGCACTCCAGATCCTTCACCACCTGTAATCAAATTGTCATTTCTCAGACAGCTTATTATATTATACACTTCATATGATATGATTTAACTTTAATTTATCCAACCAGTAAACCTGGGACCTGGATTGTACATGTTACCTTATCTATGGATGATCGCCTTTCAGCCTCCAATCTAACACATTCCTGGGCCAAATCGATCATCAAATATAGTTGATGCAAGTCGTGGGAGCCGTTTAAGGCTGGATCAACCAAGTCAGGGTACATTTTCTTCCTCAGAAGAGGCCTTGCCTGTGGAAAAAAACATAAAAAACTGAGAATAGAATATACTGAGAAAGTTTGATAAATTTTTTTTAAGGAATATAATGTAAAAAAACATGTTACCCATCTCAGGTAGCTTTGTCCATTTGTCTCCTGGAGGGTCTTTCGGCCTGTGATCAGCTCTAGGAGGACTACCCCGAACGAATAAACATCTGTCTTGCTTATATTATCTGCACTGTTTTCTTCATAGCCCGGTGCTATGTATTCTAGTGTCTTGATCACCCTTGACTCAGATGAGTAATCCAGGCCCTCGTACGGGTTTCTTGCAAGTCCATAATTCACCAGCTAATTTGCACAACACCAAAGATATTGTTGTCAGAGACCAGTTTTCCTCAAGAAAAAACACAAAAGATTCTATTACCAATGGATGATGATCATGGTTTATGAGAATGTTCTTTGGCTTCATATTCGCATAAATGTTTTTGGTGTGCAGATACTGTAACCCTTTAGCAGCTCCCAATGCGATTTTCATTCTCCTTTCCCACGACAAGCTGCTACTTTTCTCTGCAGCAGGTGTATACATATTGTTATAAACAAAGATTGGGCTAGAGTCACTCAACTGAGCTATAATGCACATTGGCCAAACTAATCCAACCAATTAGCTAGTCTAAACCATGACCTTATAAACTCATATGTTCTCTCTTATTTTATTTTTACCTTGCAGATGTATGTTTAACGAACCGTTGCAGACATACTGATAAACCAGCAGCCTATGTTGTCCTTCTGAGCACCATCCTAGCAGCGTGGCAACGTTCTGATGTCTCACATTTCCAAGCATCTGAGCCTGCGATTTAAACTCGTTCTCTGAAATGTTTCCAGAAGGGTGCTCCATTACCACGATCGTATGTCCATCGTTCAGTGCTCCGATGTAGATTTGGCTGCCATGATTTGCCAATAAATTCCGCGGGGAAAAGCCACTGGTTGCAAGGTGCAGATCAGCATAAGTAAATTCTACTGTTGGTCTTGTCATCAGAAGTCTGTTGTTGCATAATGAGCAAGTCGAACTCTCGAATAAATCTTCTTGAACTTCACCTACACATTTTCTTGATTAGTCTTATCCGGTGGGATGTGGATACTAATGAAATGAAACATCAGTAACACATACCTTCATGAGATCCATGGATGCATTGTCCTCTTTTCAAGGCTTTCTCAGCATCTTCGGACATCTTTAATCCTCGGACTGTCTTATCAGGTGCATCAACTATCTTTAATCCTCGGATCGTTTCAATGTTGCTATCATGCTTAATCCTTAGTATTCCACAAGACAGCTTATCCAGAAAGTATTTCCTGTCTTTCTTCATATTCCTACCCAGTATCAAAATTGAAACTTAGAGAAGCCTAAAACTGCTTACTTTTATCTTATATATTATATATCTTCTTATTCTTCTTATTCTTCTTAGAAAGGCGAATAGAATGAATACCTGTCAAGAATAACACATGTTGCCCTGAGACTTTCAGCCACTCTTATAGTAATCTCGTTCAGTGAATCATCAGCTTCCACTTCTATATCAAACTTGATCTAGAATGTGTATAATGAAAACCACATATCAAAATAAAAACCCTTTTTTTTTTTTTGAAAAAAGATGAAAGTGGTTGAGAATATTTGACCTGCTGCATTTGAAGCTGCTTAATCAAATCTGCAATCTTGGGATTGCTCAAGTACTCCTTTCTCTTCTTCTGAGCCTCTTGCTGGATGTGTTTCTTCCTCATGCTAATCGTGGCGCTAATTGAATGCAGTTTGGTCTTTCGTCCTACTGAAAATCACGATGCATCAAATAAAAAAGCTCTAAAGATTGGTCATGCATGATCAAAAGAAAATTCTTTCCTTTTCTTTCGTTTTCTGGGCAGATTTTACTTACAGACTGCTATGCATCCTGTGCATGGTGGAGAAGTATTATCAGTCGTGAAAGGCTGCATGACTCCAAGCTGCAAAACACTGTCGCCTTGCTTGAGTGACAGGCTCCGAATTGCAGCCACGATTCCATCAGCGCTTGGCTCAAGAGAGGCATCGAGGACGATCAGCACCTTCTGGATGCCATTCTGCTGGTTTCTGTTCATGAATGACAGAATAAACATCAGAGCTTTGTATATATATACACCAAAAAGTAATGAAACTCGAGAGTTTATGGCGGAAAAAGAGTGTTACTGGGGAAGGGGAAGCGCCCGAGAAAGCATTGTAATGAGTCTGCAATTTTGGATATGGGAGGGATCAGTGTTCTGGGGAGAGCATATATAAAAGTGTGAGGTGCAATAATTTGTATTGTATTTTGAAAACAACTAGGCATTTCTTGTTCTATGCTGTTTTTTTTTTTTAAATTTGTCCACTTCAAATGGCACAGAAGAGTGATGGGAAAAACCAAGATTTCCTCAAATACTAAGCCAATTATTTGTGTTCATTTGCAGTTAACATCAATGTTTTGGTTTCTTGGTGTATTGATATCTACTTAACTTTTGTTTTATATACAAGACACTCCCAGGGTGTAGATAAACTCAACTGATTCTTCTTGTCACCCTTTGTTGAAATGCCACAAAATTTCTTTAGTATTTGTCTTGTGGGATATCATATGAAATATTTTTATCTTTGTTTCTTCTTTTTCCGTGCAATGCTACACGTGGGCAAATTATTATGTGGACCCCGATTCAAAAATACACAATTTATATGCTGAATGTTTACAATTTACATACTGAATGTTTACAATTTTGTTCACAATTTACATACTGAATGTTCACAATTCAAATTGTGAACATTCAATATTTCAATATATAAATTGTGTATTTTAACATGGATCCACCTTGCAAGGTGGTCCATGGCATAATTGTCGCTACAAGTGACTTCCATTCCCATACTCCCGCGGATTGTTATATCGTGCACCAACGCACAATGCATTGTGCGCCCTTGACACGATAGACACCATTCAATACCGTTACAGTTTTCACTATATAATTTGCCTAAGCACGCTGTTAAGGCCCATTTAGCCGGGGATAATTTACATGGATCGTTGTGCTGTGCATCCGTGTGCACCATATGGTGCATAAAGATGCAAAAACGACATCTTTTTGACTAAAAACGCGTGTCCCACTTAAAATAAAATAAAATAAAAAACCAGTTTCGATTCCCCTCAACAGCATTATGTTGTTCATTCATTCTGGATTTTTAGTTCATAGATTCTGGATTTTTAGTTCGTTCATTGATTCTGGATATTTAGACGTAAATCGAAACTGATTTTTTTTCATTCATGCTGGATATTTAGTTCATTCATCCTGTATTTTTAGTTCATTCATTTTGTATTTTTAATTCATAGATTCTGGATTTTTAGTTCATTGATTCTGGATATATAGTTCAAATTATGCACAACATAATGTTGTTGTTAAGAATCAAAACTGAAATTTTTGTTGTTAAGTGGGACACGCATTTTTAATAAAACGACGTCGTTTTTGCATCCGTATGCACCATGCATGGTGCACAAGGATGCACAGCATAATTTGCCCATTTACATCATCAAAGAGAAACCATAATCCCATTTTATAATGATGATACTAAAACCTCCCCTCTATTACATACGCACGCACAGTTTCATACATAATTGATGCTCTGTATCAGACACTGACAAGAAGTATCCAAATCTCTTGAGTTGAAGGGCAATATTGCATATTAATGAAAATGATGATTCTCGAAAGATATGGAAATCAAAGAGATGGTTTCTAGTTTGTAAGTTCCATAATGGCAGAGACGATATCCCCATCGACAGCCTTTAGAGCTTTGACCGCCTTTGCCCTGGAAACCCCAGCTTGGGTCATCACCAACTCTATATCCTTGGGTTCTACACCTGTCTCATCTACATCCTCATCATCTTGAGCTGCAGTTGATGGCTCGGGCTTTGATATGACATCGCTAATGTTAGGAGCCTTGAACTGTTCAGCAGCTTGAGTTTGCAGTTGCGAGCTTAAATCCTCAATCTTAGCCTCACCAAAAATAACGTAGGTGTCTGAGTTGGGGCTCTTGAAAACATCCGGTTTTGAGATGATGAATAGTATCTGAAAAGTTAAATGAAGCAGAATGAATGAACAAGTAAACAACAACAAAAAAGTCACTGAAATAAGTATATTATGAAATATTACTGAGTAATTGTAAAATTTAACATACATTCTTGCTCTTCTTGACAGTGACCCGACTGACACCAAGGATAGGCTTCATTCCCAGCTTTAGCATAGCTTTACGACTCTTCTTCTCACTCCTGCTCTGCTTTGACCTACCAGTACCATCTCCATGTTCTGCCAAAATTAAGGGGCATTAGAATTATATACCCAATCACCACATATTCAACCTAATTACAAGCACTATGAACTCCCAAACCCAGTCACATACCAGGGAAGTTTTTGAAAAGGAGATCAGGTAATATACATGTGTGCATTACCTAAAGCATGTTTGTAATTCCCCCATATCCAAACACTTTGCCTAAATCAGGCGTTTGCCAAACCCAATATCATAGTTGGAACATGGAAGAATCTTATACTTTGTGTCTAAGTTTCACTCTAGATTCTAGAAAAGGAAAAATGGACTGAATCATGGAGTGTGGGGGAAAGACTTTAAGCTTCCTGACTAAATTGAAGAAAGCTTCAACGACCTTGAGTTTGCTAGGAACACAGCTTAAGAAGCATCCTACTATGAGTCCTTGATCTTTAAATGAAAAGATTAAGTATGCTCATGGTTTTGCAAATCATTGTTTAAAGTAAGAGGGAAAAAGACATAAATAAAATTGATGTGCTCCTTTAATAGAGAGGTCCATGCAGTTGTCAGAGAACTCAAGAGCCAAACTGAAACCATCCCTAGGCAAAGACCATAATCATAGTTAATGAAAAATGAACTGATGTAAAACTGTACTCAAGCTAAAGAAATTACCTCTAAGAAAATAGCCAAACATAATCATCTAAAAGGGAGATTTTATTCTCAGTTTATAATTCAAAATTAAAATAACAAAAAACTAGATTCGCCCGGCCAGCAGGCGGTGTGCTTATCTTGTGTAACAACACTACAAAGCGAGTGGCTCTTCTAGGTGGGCAGATGTGTGACAAGTTGAGTAGTTGACAACACTACAGAGAATGCGGCAATATATTGACTTTGACCAAAGGTTGCCACAATTCAATGTGGTTTACAAATTACAGCTGAATAGAAACTAAAACAGAAAGGTCATATAAATCTATCAATATCATCAATCAATAGAACAAGATAATGCAAAGCTGCCAAAGACCCTTACCTTCATCTTCATCTTTTTCATCACCTTCATCATCATCATCGTCTTCATCATCATCGTCGTCCTCAATAATTGGGTCCTCAGACTGCAGGAGTCATACATTTTTTTACATAAAAGTTTTGATAAGTAGAAGAGATACACAAAGTAAAAGAGGAAATACAATAGTGAATGATCTTTATTCTCCTCCTTTCCCCTCTCATTTCCCTCAATTCAAGGGAAGCTCAAATTCCTCAAGAGAACTAATTCTTGCTCTTTATTTTTACAAATATTAGAACTTCATCTACATTTTTTGGTTCCAAAAGATACTGAACTTTGAGCATCCTTGTATTTGTTACTCAAAGCACTTACCAACCAGCTCCAAGAATTGAATTTCCAACACCCACATATATTGTTTGATGGGTTCATGAAGCAACTATAGTCCTAATAATCTCAAAAGATTCAAGTCTTCAATTCAAATAACAACAGTTTCCATGTTCAGCTTCTAAAAGACAGTTTCTGTTCGCTTTCATTTACATTCACCACATTCAAAATGGACCTCACTACTTCATGCCGAACATGTAAGTGCTTGCAGTGTGGAAACAGAAGTAAAAATAAAAAGAACAGGTTGAAAATCAAATCAAATTAGCTTCAATTCACATTCACAGTTAAACTGCCCAAGTACTATAGCCAACTCAACGGATCATCATTTGATTACTAGTGGAAACGACAGGATTCAACCGAGTTCGAAATGCATAAATACAGTCTATTTAGTTGCTTCGTCCATACATAATTACATGCGTGTAGATAGATTTTACCTCGATCTTCTGCTGTTCGAGATGAGCAGCCAGGATCTCTTCTTGCGATTGAGCAGTCATTTTTGGGGATAGTTGATCGAGAGCAGCTGACAGAAACAATGGCTCCTGTAACCCTAGCGGTAAGAGAGAGGACGATTAACAAGGGCTCCTATAACCCTAGCGGGCGGTAAGAGGGTATGTTTGGTTCACTAGAAAATATTTTCTCTGAATTTGATGAAATTTTTTTTTGTTTGGTTCATATACAATATTTTTATGGCCTTCTTTGGTATTTTATTTTTCATAGAAAATAAGTAGGATAATTATGTTAAGTACTTTGTACTCAGATAATATATAATAACTTTCTCATATGAAAGATTATGAGATTGAGTCTCAGTAAATCAAAATCAATAAGATAAATACGTCCCTCTTGCATTTAAATAAATAATGCTAAAGTTTAATATGTATATTTTTTTATTGATTACACATTGATTTTTTTTTAGTAAATATATAATGTTAACTATGATATTTCTGTAATATATTTCTTTATAAAAAAAAAAAAGATATTATAGTGACAATTGTTGTTTGAGCATTTAGGTTAGCAAATTTGAATAATCTTCACTGTGTGAATGAAATATGTAAAAATTTTAGGATAATATACTTTCATTACTTTGTAAGTTAGAAGGAGGGAAAATATTATAGACCATATAGTAACTTAATAAACAATATAGTAATAAATACGTAGTAATAATTTAATGAATATACAATTATGATCTAATGTATATATTAACTAAACAATTGAAAATATTACTCATATGGTATCATTTAAAATATTTTAATTATAATTTTTAATGATATTTTTATCTATTAATTTTATTTGTACCAAAAAGAACAAGATTAAAAAAAAAAAAAAAAAAAATAGTGTTGAGGCATTAGCGCGGAAACTCTTGTTGATTTCGCATGTTTGTCATTGGAGTCATGGTAGTTTTGAGGGTTTGGTCGCTAATTTTGCTCCACTGGTTCGATGGAGGCTGTATTGGACTAAATGACTTATGTTGCCCTCATGAATGCTTAAACTTAACAATGATGTTTATTTTTCCTTGTATGTTGCATCTGGGGTGGGGGGTGTTTGCCTGCGTGATTATGCATGCTCAGTGGTAGTTGTTTTCACTTTCCCGTTGGTAGTTTTGTTGTTGTTGTTTTTTTTTGTTGTTGTTGTTTTTTTGTTTTTTTGTTTTGTTTTGTTTTTTTTTGTTTTTTTGTTTTTTTTTGGCGCGGGGAGCTGAGGCTAGGGCTGTTAACGAACCGAATATAAACGAACGAAGGTTGTTCGTGTTCGTTTGTTAATAATTTTAGGGTGTTCGTGTTCATGTTCGTTTGTTAAGGTTTTTGAAAATCCTGTTCGTGTTCGTTTGTTAAGCGTTTATTAGTATTTGTTAACGTTCACGAACACGTTCATTTACGTTAACGAACACGTTCGCGAACTTGTTTGTCAACGTCCGCGAACATGTTCACGAACGTGTTCGTTAACGTTAACAAACATGTTCGTTAACAAACACGTTCACGAACATGTTGGTTTACGTTCATGAGCACGTTCGTGAATCTTTAATAACCAAACACCTGCACATGTTCATGATCACAATTCGTTCGTGAACAATAAATAATTTACGTTCATGTTTGCGAACATTATTAAACGAACACTAAATAAACTTGTTCATGAACATTATTAAACGAACACAAACAAGTTTGTTCACGAACATTATTAAACGAACACAAACGAGCTTGTTCACGAACATTATTAAACGAACACAAATGAGCTTGTTCACGATCTCTTAGCAAACGAGCATACAACTGTTCAAGCTCTGTTCGTTGAGCTCTAATTTTTGTTTGTTAATGGTTCGTTTACCTTAATAAACGAACGCTTACCGAACACGAACGCGAGTAGTTTGCCGAAAGCTCTGTTCGCTAACACCCATAGCTGAGGCATAACGCTAGAGTTTACTTTGTGTTAATGTGATTTATTGGCTAATCAGGCGACAATCATTTAAGTGGGTTCCTTTCTCATTTGTCAAATTCATTCAATATGCCTTATCCCCGATTCCATGATATGTGCATCAAGCTGTGGCTCGGGTTCATGACTTGGTTGCCTCATAGTCGCTTTCCATCATTCATGTTTACCGTGAAACCAATATTGTTGCAGATGCTTTAACTTTGGTGGGTCTTGGTTGTTTTACGCCTCCGCTATTTATTTTTTAGTCTTTGTCGACTTATGTTCATACGACCTTTTGTATGATTTGTGAGGCTTTATTGCTCTCAATATTTTTCGTTTATGATTGAATACACTTTCTTTTGTATAATAATAATAATAAGTATTTATTTGTATATAACTTATATATGCCATGCTAGTTTACTTAATATTATGAGTCAATGCATAACTTGTGTTGTGAATAAGTATGCATGATACTATAGTTGGCAAAGATGTTCACTTTTTACTTTTTTTTTTTTTTTTGTTCTTTTTTGTTTTTTGTTTTTTGTTTTTTGTTTTTTGTTTTTTTTTTGTTTTTTTGTTTTTGTTGTTGTTAATAAAATAATTATTTATTTAGAACAATGTAGTCGTATTGACTTTAGTTGACTCAAGTCAAGCTTATGAAGAAAGTTTAAATACTTTTGACTCATACCATCTTGGACAAGAAAAATAAAATGTAACTAACAATTTATTGTTACACTTTTGTTGAAAGGCAAATAATCAATAAATTAAGAAGAAAGGAGAAGTGGCATGACTTGACAAAGAAACTGCATCATGAGCAATTAAATGAGTGATACGATTCACATATCGCGTAAATGATAAATAAACATATTCAAGTTTTCCATTAGAGTTGTCTTCTAAAACTGTTCTTCGTATTTGTTTTTGTTTTTTTTGTTTTTTTTTTTTTTTTTTTTTTACTTCTCGATGTATTATGTTATATTAGATATTACTTATTAGATTAGATTACTTGTTTATTTTAACTATATCATCCGCTTTTTAAATGTTATCTTTATTCATTTGTGGTTCATAGCTAATTTGACTTCATAGAGAGAAAAAAGATGTATTTATTTTATTTTATTTTTTTGAAAACAAAGAGGACAATTACATATTAGTTATTTTTTTTTTTTCTGGGTGACTGAGAATTTACCAAGTTTATTCAATTACGTTCCCAAGTCCCACCATTTCAAAAGGATAATAATAACACTATTTTCCGAATCAAAATTATCACTCTTAACACTTTTTTTTTTTTTTTTTTATATATACGTATTGTTTTGAAATTTGAATATTCTTGTTGCATACTATAATCTTTTGGTATATGGTTTATTAATTTATAAGTGATTTATTAAATTCTCAATTATTCATTATATACATATACTTTACTTGTTTAACATTTGTATATAGCATTGGTATATTTGAGATTAAAAAAAAAAATCATAGCAAAGCTTATCAAACATCTAATTAATTTTGTAGGTCAGTCAATTCTTATATTTCAAGATTAGCATCAAATATGTTAATTAATTTTCTTTGTAAAAAGTAGCCTTAAGAAATACGAAGTACATTCTTTGAAAATACAAAAATTTATTTAACTAGAAAGTACCAAAATTCCTTAAAACTATTATTAGAATATGCACAGCTTCCACTGAGACTTGAACTCATAACTAACCTCCCATATAAGAGTCCAACTCGAGTGCCATCTGTACATAAAGTGCTTAACAATTATCAGAATAATTTAATTGATGAGAAAGTAACTAATTTCATTTTTTTTTTTTTTTACAAAAGTATTATGAGCTATTTTGGATTCAATTATAAATACCAAATATCGAAATCAAACCGGGGATATCATAGCATTTTCCAGTCTTACTCCTTGGGTGGTAGTGGCAGTAAGGAATCAGGGAGCGGGCAAAGGTAGTCCGAGCCTGATCTTAGGTTTTCCAAACTTTCATCACAGTTAGCGTGTGAAATTTCTAGGGTTTTTGTTCGCGTAGCCCTAAGCTTCGGCTTCGTATTTCGTCGGAAATGGCTGGGAACAACGTGATCTCCGACGACGAAGGTTATTTCTCGACTTCCGTTATATACATATCTGGTATACACGTGTATATGCGAGCTGTCGGTTTTGACAAAAGTTAATTGCAGATGAGGTTGGAGTTGAGGAAGAGGAGCGCGACGAAGAGCCCGCAGACGGGGAGGGAGTTGACGAGCGAGACGATGATGAGGAGGAAGAGGACGAAGATGGTATTGGTCAATTTCATTTTCGTTTCCCCGCTCCGTTTTTGCTTATTAGTTCGAAGGATTTGGGGGGTTTTTGTACTCGCTTGCCTCTTCCCTGTGATTAGGCTTTGTGTTCTTGTAAATTTGGGACTTTTTCTGTTTGAAATAAATGCGACTTTTGTTTTGAAAACTTGTGGGTTTTAGCTGCATGCATTCGTGGAGCGCAGTTGTTATCTTTATTTATCTGCACATTTGATGTTTGGTTACCAGCTAATATGGGCTTAATGCTTTACTAGGGCAACCAAAGCTGTTCACATATACCAGGAAATTCACTTCTTTTAATGCATTGTGTTGTAAAATCAGATAAATAGATAATCATAATTGGGGAAATATTTATGAGCCATTTAAAAAAAAGACTTGTAAATGAATGCCAAATGTATTTTAATTGAGCATCATGCTGTTAGTTGAAGGATAACATTTTTTTTTTGTAACTTTATTTACAAGTGATGCAAATTTAATGCAACTGAACATTTTGGTACATTTTTTGGGCCTGACAGAAGAAGGGCAAGATGAGTATGAGAAGGATGGATTTATAGTAGATGATGTTGATGAAGAGGAAGAGGAGGAGGAGGAAGATAGAGCTCACAGCGATGAAGAGAGACACAAGAAGAAGAAAAGGAAGAAAAGGTGAGCTTTTCTTATGACACAGTCATCTATGAGTTTGTGTGGTATGTTTACTCCTAAATGGGACCTTGTTTACTGGTTTTATAGGGAGTCTGAGAGGAATTACGAGCTTGATGAAGACGATTATGAACTTCTGCAAGAAAGCAACATATCAGTTCATCGCCCAAAACTTGTGAGTTTCCTGTTTTGCACTCCTTCATTCCCATCTATGCAGTTAATGTGCTGATGTATCATTTTGTACAATGCTGTTGCTTTATTCCAATTATTGGTTCATATTGATCAGGAGAGCAAAAAATTCAAGCGGCTGAAAAAAGCTCAACGGGATGAGGAAGGGCATTCTGATTTTCCTGAGGAGGAGGATTTTGATGAATCTGGCAAGCGAGGCCGTACAGCTGAGGAGAAGCTCAAGCACAGTTTATTTGGTGATGATGAAGGTAAATATCATCCAAACTGTTCTCTAAACAAGTAAACAGTCATCTTGTTTGCTTAGTTTGTTATTGAGAATATGCTGAATTGCTTGCAGTGCAACCACTTGAGGATATTGCTGAGGAGGAGCAGCCAGAGGAAGAAGAGGAGGATGCAGATATTGGTGAAGAAGATGAAATGGCTGACTTCATTGTTGATGAAGAAGAAGTTGACGAGCATGGTGCACCCGTGAGGTATACAGTATATCATATACTACTGTTGTTGTTATTGTTGTTTGAAGGGGTTCTTTTTGTTATCTATGCTTCTGTTGCTTATTGCCAAATTTTCTGCAGAAGGAAGAAATTGAATAAAAAGAAGTCCAGACAGGCCCCAGGAGTTTCATCCACCGCACTTCAGGAAGCCCATGACATATTTGGTGATGTTGATGAGCTCTTAAGGCTTCGCAAACAAGGATTGGCAAAGATGGGCCATTATGATGAAGGTGGTGAGTGGAGGGAAAGGAAGCTTGAAGATGAATTTGAGCCAATTATTCTTTCTGAAAAATATATGACTGAGAAGGATGAGAGGATTCGGGAGATAGATATCCCAGAAAGAATGCAGGTTTGAGCAACTTAAAAAGTGTTTTCTTTTCTTTGTTTTTTTTTTTTTTTCCCTCTCTCTTTCATTTGGGTTAGGGATGCAAAATTTTGCTTCCTTTTTCTGATTTTTTGAGTGATATATCATATGGTCAATCTTTTTTAGTTATCTGAGGAAAGCACTGGTCCACCTATGGATGAGATGAGTATAAGTGAGGAGACTAACTGGATCTACAATCAACTCCGGTTTGTGCCCCCATTTAACAAGCGGGAGACAGGGACAAGTGAAGAAGGAAATGAACTTCCAATTGACAAAGATGATATTATGAGGTTTTTGGATTTAATGCATGTGCAGAAGTTGGATGTGAGTACTTATTCTGAATCAGTGGGGACTTTTATTTGTTTATTTACTTATGAATTTTCCATTTTAAAATAATTTTCAATACTCTGTAGGTACCATTTATTGCTATGTACCGGAAGGAGGAATGCATGTCCTTACTTAAGGATCCAGACCAGGGCGAAGTTGATGCTCTTGAGAATAACTCTGACAAAAAACCAGCGCTAAATTGGCACAAGGTAGACATTTTTCCATGACCGATGTATTTAATGCTTTTTTATTAATATAATTACAAGGCGTAGAGTTCTTAAGGAGATTGTATTGCAGGTGCTTTGGGCAATCCAGGATTTAGATAGAAAGTGGCTTCTTCTTCAGAAGCGGAAGAGTGCTCTCCAATCATATTATAACAAACGCTTTGAAGAGGAGTCGCGTAGGGTATATGATGAAACAAGGCTAAATTTGAATAAACAGCTTTTTGAATCAATTTCTAAGTCACTCAAAGCAGCTGGGTCGGAAAGGGAGGTTGATGATGTCGATTCAAAATTTAACCTACACTTCCCCCCTGGTGAAGTTGGTGCTGATGAAGGTCAATTTAAGAGGCCAAAGAGGAAATCACAGTATAGCATTTGCAGCAAGGCTGGGTTGTGGGAAGTTGCGAGCAAGTTTGGTTACAGCTCCGAACAATTTGGGTTGCAGATATCTCTGGAAAAGATGGTATTTTCTTTAGATTCCTTTAAAGTCTCCTAATAAGTTACTTTCTAATCAAGGTTTTGAAAGGCGGAGGCGTGCCTCGAGGCGTTTTGTAATGCTGAGGCGAGGCATAAGCCTCAAGTTTTATACAAAATATATTAATAAACTGTAAGTAATATTCACTATTCTTATATACAATCAACCTACAAATAATTAATATTCAAAAAAATCAATATTAAAAAAAAACCCACTACTGAGTATTGCCATGTGCCACTGCCACACACTCGCACTGCTGCCAAGTGCCACAGCCCACACACACACACACACTATATATATATGTGTGTGTGTGTGTGTGTGTGTATGTATGTATATATACAAAGCAGTGAAAGCACTATATATACACACACACACACACAGAGTACGCGAACAGCACTATAAATCTATAATAATACACAAAAAAAATTACTTTCGAAAAGAACCTGGAGGTCGCCGGACAGTGAAGGTTGCTGGACAGTGGTGGTTGCTGGAGTGTGGAGGTCGTCAGACAGTGAAGCGGTGGAGGTCGCTTCTCTCGCAGGATGCGCAGGTTTTCACAAATAGAGTTTTAGTCTTCCTTCTTAGATTTCTACACATATGCCTCAGACACGCCCTGAGGCGCACCTGAGGCGTACGCCTCTATTTTTGCGTAAGAGGCAAATGCCTCATTGCCCACAGGCTACGCCTCACACTGAGGCACGCCTCATTTGCGCCTTTTTAAACCTTGTTTCTAATATTGCATAATGTGTAGGAAACTGAAAATGTGAAGATGATAAGTATCTTGTGGTTACATTTGGTGTGGATATGCCAATTTTTTAAAGACATTGTTATGATGAAAATTGAGGATAAGCATCCATTTATCCAGATTAGATTTATATATATGTGCTGTGTATGTATGTATGTATGTTATATTATTTGTTTCGGTGAAAATCAGTGGTAAATCATACAAGGAGATTGCTCCCAAGTATTATATATCAATGCTTAATTCTGAAACTGCACTTACTAATAATACACATACACTTGAGTAGGATAGAGTTATGTTGTATAATTTAGATGGTACCCTATGCGTGAGTGACATTAGTGATTAAATATTTCTTACAGAAGTTATTTCACCGACCTTGCAGCAGGATCAATGAACTTTTAGACTTTGCAACAAAAGCATTCTGACACATTCTTGCAGTTAAAGTTAACCAGAAATGCTACAGTTGTGTTTTAGAATATTCATTACCTCATTGGATGATTTGAAGCTATGAAGGAACATTTCCCATACTATTTTATTTTTCTGTTGATCATTTAAACAACTTTTATCCCACTACTATCCCAGAGAATGGATGAATTGGAAGACCCAAAGGAAACACCAGAGGAGATGGCTTCGAACTTCACCTGCGCGATGTTTGAAACATCACAAGCAGTTCTCAAGGGTGCTAGGCACATGGTAAAACTCTTATTAAATTGTCTCTCCTAGCATGTTTTTGTTGTGCTTGCTAATTTAAGTAACTATTTTAGGCAGCAGTTGAGATTAGCTGTGAACCTAGTGTCCGGAAATATGTCCGTTCTGTCTATATGACAGATGCTGTAGTATCAACATCACCTACTCCGGATGGGAATGCAGCTATTGATCCTTTTCATCAGTTTGCTGGAGTGAAGTGGCTACGGGACAAGCCACTTTCCAGATTTGATGATGCACAATGGCTTCTCATACAGAAGGCTGAAGAGGAGAAACTGTTACAAGTTACTATAAAGCTGCCAGCACCGGTCCTGGAGAAGCTTTTGTCCGACTCCAATGATTATTACCTTAGTGATGGTGTGAGTAAATCTGCTCAATTATGGAATGAGCAGAGGAAGTTGATACTTCAAGATGCAATTTCTAATTTTCTCTTACCATCAATGGAGAAAGAAGCAAGATCTATGTTGTCTAGTAGAGCAAAGAGTTGGTTACTTTCGGAATATGGACAGCTTTTGTGGAACAAAGTTTCTGTTGGTCCATATCAGCGAAGAGAAAATGATGTTAGCTCAGATGAAGAGGCTGCACCAAGGGTTATGGCATGCTGTTGGGGACCTGGAAAACCTGCAACCACTTTTGTGATGTTGGATTCATCTGGAGAAGTTGTGGATATCTTGTATGCAGGGTCTCTCAGCCTTCGTGGTCATAATGTTAATGACGAGCAGAGAAAGAAGAATGATCAGCAAAGGCTTTTAAAGTTTATGATGGATCACCAACCTCATGTTGTTGTACTAGGAGCTGTGAATTTGTCTTGCACACGTCTCAAGGAGGATATTTATGAGGTATAATGTAACTTCTCGGTTTAAATATTTAAACTCTTCAAATCCCAGGTTTTTTACCTCTTAGAATCTAAGATTGGGCCAAGGTCACCCAACTGCGCTATAATGCACATGGGCCAAACTACACTAAAAGATTGAATCTAATCAATTAGCTAATCTAACCCATGGCCTTATAAACCCATATGTTTCTCTTAATTTTCAATGTGGTACTCTTAACAATACGTAAAGCCATATTGCCTGGTGTCATTAGATTGCTGGTATATACTTTATCAGTGTACTTTCCTTCTGATTATCAAAATTTTCTATACAGATCTCTCATTTTGTGAGTGCTGCTTGGTTTCAAAGAAAATTCTCACCCTTTATACCATTTGTTCTCACAGATTATATTTAAGATGGTCGAGGATAACCCAAGAGATGTTGGTCATGAGATGGATAATTTGAACGTTGTGTATGGTGATGAGTCCCTTCCTCATCTTTACGAGAATTCCCGTATTTCAGCTGACCAGCTTCCTTCACAGTCGGGTAATTTCATTGTGCATTCACTATTCATCTTACCTATTGAAGCATATATTTATTCTCTCCCAAATTTCAGGTATTGTGAGACGTGCTGTAGCCCTTGGGCGTTACCTTCAAAATCCTTTAGCAATGGTTGGTACATTATGTGGACCAGGGAGGGAGATACTATCCTGGAAGCTGAGTTCTATGGAGAACTTTTTAACTCCTGATGAGAAGTATGGAATGATTGAACAGATTATGGTGGATGCCACTAACCAAGTGGGTCTAGATCTTAATTTGGCTATAAGTCATGAGTGGTTATTTGCACCTCTGCAATTTATTTCTGGACTAGGACCCAGAAAGGCTGCATCGCTGCAAAGATCCTTGGTTAGACAACAAACAATATTCACCAGAAAGGACCTGTTGACTGAACATCACCTTGGTAAAAAGGTGTTTGTCAATGCAGTCGGTTTCCTGCGAGTGCGGCGAAGTGGATATGCTTCTAACAGTAGTACATATATTGACTTGTTGGATGATACAAGGATACATCCAGAATCGTATAGTCTTGCTCAGGAATTGGCCAAAGATGTTTATCTCAAAGACGTTGGTGAAGATACAAATGATGATGATGAAGTGCTGGAAATGGCTATTGAGCATGTGAGAGAGAAACCTCAGTTACTAAGGGGGGTCGATCCTTATAAATATGCTGATGCAAAGCAGCGAATAAGTAAAAAGGAAACTCTGAATGATGTAAGATTGGAGCTGATGCAAGGATTTCAGGATTGGAGAAGACCATATGTAGAGCCTAGCCAGGATGAGGAGTTTTACATGATTTCTGGTGAGACTGAGGATACACTATCTGAAGGAAGAATTGTGCAAGCAACCGTTCGCAGGGTTCAACCTCAGAAAGCTATATGTGCTCTTGAATCTGGTCTGTCTGGCATACTCATGAAGGAAGATTCTTCAGATGATTGGAGGGATATAAATGACTTAACTGAAAAATTACGCGACGGTGATATATTGACTTGTAGAATCAAGTCAATACAAAAGAACAGATACCAGGTGTTTTTAAGTTGCAAAGAGAATGACATGAGAGGTAACCGCTTCCAAAATAATAGGATTATGGATGCTTTCTACCATGAAGATCGCAGTAGCTTACCTACTGAGCAAGAAAAAGCTCGCAAAGAGAAGGAGCTTGCAAAGAAGCATTTCAAGCCAAGGATGATTGTTCATCCTCGTTTCAAAAATATAACAGCAGATGAAGCAATGGAGGTATTACTTTACAGTGTGAAATTGATTTACATATTCAATATATCCCCCTTCATGGATACTTCTGTGAATTTAACTTTGTTCTTTTTAATTGAGTTTGAAAGTGTGTTTTGTTTAATGTTTCCTTCGTTGGAGTGAAACCAACTCCCAAATATACACTCATTCTGAAACAAATGAACAAAATAACATTTTTTAAAAATATATTTATTTTATACGAGTTTGAACTCATTGGTCCATTGATGTGATTGCCTGCTAAAATCCTTTTTTTTTTTTTACCTTACATATTGAATATATGTAATTTTGTGCTCCTTGATGGAGAAGAAAGCACTGCATAGAACTTTCCGTGCTTGTAAACTAAATATTTGGTTTCTATGTGCAAAAGCTAGGTTAGCATTGTTGTCAGCCCATTCCACCCAAGGCACCTGATGGTCTTGGATTTGAGCTCTTACACCCTTATCAAATAGCAAAAAATTAGGAAAAGAGGGGGGAGCATAAAACTTGTTGTGCTTCAACAGTTCAAGTGTGGGCATTGAATTCCCAGTCCGTGATAGATATAATTCAATTTACATCTTAATCAACCATGAATTCCTTAAAATGGATACCTAATGGTTTGACTTGTGGTTTTAGACTTTCGAGTTCATGAACATCCATAGCTTTTTCAGTAATTTATGTCCTGTTATGCAGTTCCTGAGTGACAAAGAACCTGGTGAAAGCATCATACGCCCTAGTTCCCGTGGGCCATCTTATTTAACTTTAACACTCAAGGTTTATGATGGCGTGTATGCCCACAAAGATATAGTGGAAGGTGGAAAGGAGCACAAAGATATTACAAGTCTGCTCCGTATAGGGAAGACTTTGAAAATAGGGGATGACACATTTGAGGATTTGGATGAGGTAAGCCTCTTTAACTATCTAATCTCAGATATCCTTCCTTTTTATTTATTTATTTATTATTTATTTATTTATTTTAACTTCAACTTCAACTTTTTCAGTTGCTGTTAAGTTTTAATGTAGTTTGACTTTATGATTGATTTGGAGCAATTTGCATAATTTCATCTTCAATCAGTCAAAGCAGTGGTCCTTCACATTTGTTGTGTGATTAAGCATTTCATGTGTTAAAAATGTTAATAGTGTAGCCTTTTCATTAACCTATCCTAATACAAAGGTTCTCTATTTCACCGCTCTATTCTGTTCTTTAATATGAAAAGGTGATTGCACCATGCAAACTGAAGCCATTTTTCGATAAGGTTACACATGCTCTTTTTTATATGAAAATGCTGGTAGTGGGGGTACTAAACCTGTCTTCTTTCCTTACTTTATTTGGATGATGTTTGGGTTCATAAAAATTACAATAAGGGCAACTAACTGTTGTAGTTTACAGCAGGCGCTCTCAGGCCTGTTGCTGATTGCAATACATGTGAAAGACTTTGTGAATGGGGCTTTACCTTGTTTGACCTGGAGCATCTTCGTATTTGTTGTTAAAAGGAATAATTCTAGCCTCCAAGTTTTGACAGTTGTGTATAGGTTTTGGTTGCTAATGTTGTTTAATCCAATGACAGGAGTCCAATTCTCATTTTACTTGGCAGTTAGCATAAGACCAAATCTCATATTATTTGTTCACTGTATTTAATTCAGGTGATGGATCGTTATGTTGATCCATTAGTTGCTCATCTGAAGGCAATGCTGAACTACCGTAAGTTTAGGAAGGGGAGTAAAGCAGAAGTCGATGAACTCCTTCGCATTGAAAAATCTGATAACCCAATGAGGATTGTCTATTCTTTTGGTATATCTCATGAACATCCGGGTACTTTTATCTTGACTTATATCAGAAGTTCAAATCCGCACCATGAATATGTTGGTCTGTATCCAAAAGGGTTCAAGTTCAGAAAGAGAATGTTTGAGGATCTTGATCGTGTTGTGGCATATTTCCAAAGACATATTGATGATCCACAGGACTCTGCACCATCAATACGATCAGTTGCTGCAATGGTGCCTATGCGGAGCCCTGCTGCTGGTGGCTCATCAGGATTTGGTGGTGATTGGAGAGGTGGTCAAAATATGGACCGTGACAGAACACAAGGTTCTAGACAAGGTAACTCAGAACTTTAGAACTTCTATCTGTTTAATTTAGTCTGTCTTATTTAGAGCAGCACTACGGTAAATTTACTTCAGTTTTGAGATTCCTGATTTTCTTTAATCTTCCCGATAGTTTTTTTTCTCCTGTATCCTTTTTGCTATGTATGTGTGTTTTCCCCTGAATAATGAAGTGTAGTAGGAGCTGCATTTGGTGAGTTTTATTCTCTCCTGCAGCTTCATGTTCAGTCCTCATCCCCTTTCAAATAAGCCTAGCCTTTGTGCCACCAGTTATTCAGTTTCTTGTGTTCTTTGTCTCATTCTTGTGCCAAGTGAACTTATAGAAACGGTGGTAATCAAAATTTTCCTTTACTGGTTTAACAGGGAGAAATGATTATAGAAACGGTGGTAATCAAGATGGACATCCTAGTGGAGTGCCCAGGCCATTTGGTGGTCGTGGACGCGGACGTGGACGAGGCCGAGGACGGGGATCTTATGATCATAACAGAGGAAACAATGATGGTAATGACAGACAAGATTCAGATTATGGCTCCCAAAAGTGGGGTTCCAAAGGTGATGATGGGTGGGGTGGTGGTGGTGGAGGAAGCGGTGGTGGCGGTTGGGGAAGTACAAGTGATGGTGGAGGCGGCGGTGGCGGTTGGGGAAGTACGAGTGATGGTGGAGGCGGTGGTGGATGGGGCGGCGACAAAGGTGGTGGTGGTGGTTCAGATGATTCTGGGTGGGGTGGCGGCAAAAAGACTCCCACGCAGTCGCAACCTGGTGGTGGTGGTGGTGGATGGTCTGAGAACAGTGGTGGTGGAGGTGGAGGTGGGTGGTGATTGTATAGTGTTTGCATGGTTAGTCTGTTGCAAATCTGATGATCCCAGCTGACAATTTGTGCTCCTTTTCCGATTTTAGTGACTATTTTTCTTGACCCCCACCCCCTAAAATTTTCTTGGTTTGAAAAGGAAGCAAATTAAAGCTGCGCAAGGTCTGTTATTAGGAATTGTTGCCCACCTTTGCAATTGCTCATTGGTGTAGATGCCCTTGTCTTTGTACAAGTTACTACATCTTACCCGGGCCTTTTTTTTTTTTTTTTTTTTTTTTTTTTTTTTTTTTTTTTTTTGGAAAAAAAACCCTGGTTTTATTATTTTTCATTTTTGAGAAATCAAGGATGCTATTTAGGGATCTGTAGCTAATCGCACTCCTTTACGTATGTGATCTTTTGCATCTAACTAAATTTCATCTCTCGATTTCAAAGTCTGAAATTCTTCATGAAACATGGGAATTTAATTATATTATATTTAAAATGGTGTCATGCATTTTGGTAGGGATTCTAAAAATTTGCATCTAATATGCTAGTGGTGGACAATTGAACTTTCTACTAGCGTAAGGTTTGGCTTGTCGAGTATCATAAAGTACATTGAGAGTGGAATATCATTCTATATAGTATCAGTCATTTTATTTAAAACTTAGGGGTGTTGTTGAGTGGAAGAGACTTATCCATCCTTAATCAAAGGTTAATGTTTTTAAAAACTTAGGGGTGTTGTTGAGTGGAAGGGATTTATCCATCTTTAATCAAAGGTCAATGATTTTATTTTTGAATTGTTCTATCCAATAAAGGTGTCTACAATCCGGTGAAAGAATTAGTCACATCCAACAGTCAAAACCTTGATTATTTAAGTGTTTTTTTTTTTTTTTTAAAATATTCCTTGGTCTAACCAAATACAAGAATATGATTTTCTCTACCATTATTGGTATATCAAATAGTAGAATTGATGATTTTGTTGAAACTGGGTATAAGGATATAGAATCAGGTGGTTGGATTGAGAGTATAGACTAGAGACCACTAGACCAAAGTGCCTGTAGTGCTCAAATGATGGTCTTGACAGGAGGAAAGACACATTATTTATAGTAGAATCTGTTGTTTTTGCACCTTCCACGTGTACGTCTCTTAGTTCCCTCTCCCTCCATCCTCCACGTCCTCTTCACACCATGCAATCTCGCACCACTCCTCGCCACCTCAAGAAGAGGGGCGCGGGTGGCACGCCTCGGCTGCCCGGGGCAAACGCTCCCACCGGCGGGCAGTCGATGGCAGCCACGACACCTCCCACACCATCGCCTCGCCACCTCAAGAAGAGGGGCCGCTGGTGGCACGCTCGGTGCCACACGAGAGGCATGCCTCGGCCGCTCGGGGCTAGCGCCCTGACCGGCGTGGCCTCTCGGGCAGCTTGCAGCACCCCCCGCACTATCCCAGAAATGGGGACTGAGGCAGGGTGCGCAGGCACCGTCCCCAGTTGTCCATCTTCGACCGGCGACACCACTCTGGGTTAGTCTACCACCTTTTCCATATCCTTTCATCTCCCTAGACCTATCCAAATCCAGCCCAATAACACTAGCTCAGTAAACCTTAGCCCATAACTCATATCCCCATCAAGAATACTATTTTTATTCTATTCATTTCTTATTACATTCTTGTTGAAATTATATTTTATTCCCTTTACTTGCACTAAGTGAATTCACATGTCCATGCTCACCCCTATTTGGAAGGTTAAAAAACGAATTATTTTGTGGATAAAATAGGAATAATGAGTGCTAGAAAAAATAGCTTAAATAAAAATTGAGAAAAAAAAATGGAGTTATGGAATTAAAATGGAGTCACGGGTGGGTGCATGAGGATGAGGTGAGACCCACAGTAATAAGTAATAAGCATAGGATAGGATTGAATGTTCCCCGTGAGTGGCGCGTGCCATACCTTCTAAGCCTAATTTGGTTGGCAACATAAATACCTATTTCCACCCTCTCATTCAAATGGAAGTGATTCCCGTGCACTACTCAATTAAATCACTTTCTTTTTTACTCTGAAACCCATTTGTCTCTCAATTAAACCACATTTAAAAAAAAAGTTAAATTTTAAAATATAGAGATTAAATTAATTAGAGTTGGAATAAACAAATCAAATTAAACGAAAGAGTGCATTACAACACTCCGCCCACTACCATCTCACGTTATTCTAAAATGCATACTGTAAATAAATAAATAAATATTTTTTTAAAAAATCACTCACATCAAAAAGCAATCACCAAATCCCATTTCCCACCGCCACTAATGATCTGATCCCAGTGCAAATGTACAACCTCAAAGTCAACCTCCCACCCCACTATCACAATTCTTAATTTCTGCCTTAATCTCCGCATTAATTTTGAATCATATAAAGTAGGTAATTTTAAAAGTTAAAAACAATTACGGAGTAAGGCGTTTGGTCGGAGAGAATGAATTAAGTGGGAAATGAATTGCAATTTTGTAAAAGATGAATAATGTATGAATAAAGTAGTAATTTAAATTTTTATTTATAGGAATCGAATTACTAAAAATTTCAGTTCCAATTGTTTAGTATAATGGGAATTGAAAAAAAAAATAAGTAGTATAAAATTCAAAATGCACATACTTATTATTAAAAATGAATAAGTAGTAAAAATTTCCTACCCCATTCTGTATTTTCATACCTAATTTATGGTAAATTCAATTCCGACAAAACATCAGTATCTAAAAATAAAAATAATTTAAGAGTAATTTAATAAATAAAATAATAAACTAAAAATCATTTTACATGTAACCAACTAATAATAAATAATTAATTTGTCAAACACTCCTCTATGAACCTCTAATACTCAATTGATAGAAATAACTAACACAATTAATCATTAACTATCCACTAACACTATCAACTATCAGACTAACGTAATTTGTAAGAACAACTAATACAATTAGTTATTAAGTAGGTGCTAACTTTATGAACTATCACATTAGTGGTATTTGTCGACCACAGCACTCCCAAAGTCTTATTTAGTGAGAGCTCTCCATTCATATATGTGAATTCAATAAGTTAAGAGAAATTAAAGTCTTTTTATTTGACATTGACATCCATCACCTGATGGTGCAGGAATCAACTGCGTGACTGCGTCTATTTTTACCTTATTCTAAATTATTATAATTATTATTTTTTATTACAAAGGAAGGGAAATATCCACAAATAAATGTTAAATCTTAGTAGTTTTTTCTTTAAATATAAATAAATAAGACTATCTTTAATTTTCTAAAATTTCAAATGTCTTATATACACAACAAATCAATGAAATTATATTGTCATGTTTGATATTCATTGGTCAATCTAATTTCATTTCTTTTGTTGTTTTTTTTTTTCAACATTTTTTTAATAACTTATAAATTCGATTTTGTATGTTATGCAATAATACTGATTTAAATACTTTAAAAATTGAATTGTAAATAATATCACTCAAGTTTTTTTTATTTTTTATTTTTTATTTTTATAACTGAACTAGAAACATAAAATATGACAGAAAGAGAATATATATATATATATATATATATATATATATATATATATATATATATATATATATATATATATATATAGACACACACACACACACACAAATTGGGATAAAGGTCAAATGAGCCATTGAACTATTCATGAAAGTGCAACTGATTAGAGAAACAAATGTTATTCAATTCAAACAGAACAGAGATACAGGAGAGTATATTAAACTAAGCCACTATTATCTCCTAACTAATAGCCTAGTCATATTAGACTTATTCTAATACATGGTATGACTAGACTTAGGATTACAAATAATAATAACAAATAATAACATTACTAACACACCCCCTCAAGCACAAGGTAGGTGAGAAACCACATTGAGCTTGGACTGTAGAGCTGCAAAACACGGTCCTGGTAGTGGTTTGGTGAAGACGTCGGCGAGCTGATCCTTGGTTGAAACATAGTTGACAATGAATTCCCCGGTTGCAACCTTGTCACGAACAAAATGGTAGTCGATCTCGACATGCTTCGTCCGTGCGTGAAAAACTGGATTAGCACAAAGGTACGTGGCACCCAAGTTATCACACCAAATGCTGGAAGGTTGCTTGTCATGTAGACCTAACTCACGGAGCAAAGATACAACCCAGGTCACCTCAGCCGCAACGTCAGCTAAGGCTTTATACTCAGCTTCAGTAGACGAGCAGGCTACAGTGCGTTGCTTCCTGGACTGCCAAGAAACGAGATTATCTCCAAGAAACACTGCGTAACCACTTGTGCTCTTTCTGTCTGTAGGGAAACCGGCCCAGTCAGAATCTGAGTATGCATGTATAGTAGCAGCCGGTGAGGGCGTGATCCGTAATCCATATGCAAGAGTACCCTTGATATAGCGCAACACACGCTTAGCCAAGGCCCAATGGTCCATAGTCGGTGCATGCATGAACTGGCACAATCGGTTGACTGAGAAGGAGAGGTCCGAACGCGTAATAGTGAGATACTGAAGCGCCCCTACTATCCGACGATACTGTGTGGGATTGTCAAACGGTTCATCTGACGGGGTTACCGGTTTAGTGACGGCAGCTGGAGTAGTGAGTGGCTTGCAGTCAGTCATTCCAGCACGACCGAGAAGATCTGTCATGTATCGCCGCTGAGATAGCACCAAACCCCCTTCAGCGTCAATAGTCTCGATGCCCAAGAAGAAACTCGGCTTGCCTAGGTCCCGGATTTTAAAGGTAGTTGCAAGTCGAGTAAGCAGATTATCCACAGCTCTTGCATCATGCCCCATTACAATGATATCATCTACATACACCAGTAGATAAACTTTGGAGCTGCCAGACGTGGTGTAGAAGAGAGACACATCTGTTTTGGACGATGAAAAACCTGCAGATATTAAGAAATCGTGAAGCCGCTTGAACCACGCCCTGGGGGCCTGTTTATGGCCATATAGGGAGCGTTGCAAGTGGCAAACATGACCAGGGTGAGTCGGGTCTTCATACCCAGGTGGTTGCTTCATGTATACAGTCTTAGCCAGGTGGCCATTTAGAAAGGCGTTGTGGACATCTAATTGTCGTAGAGTCCACTGGCGAGAGATTGCAAGAGAGAACAGGATTCGGACCGTAGTGGGTTTCATCACGGGGCTAAAAGTGTCGAAAAAATCCTCCCCGGCCACTTGATTAAAGCCTTTGGCTACAAGCCGGGCTTTGTAGCGCTCAACAGAGCCGTCAGCGGTGCGTTTGGTACGGAACACCCATTTGCACCCGATTATATTCATAGTCGGCTCCGGTGGAACAAGTTTCCACGTATTATTATGGAGTAGGGCATTGAATTCCTGGTCCATAGCATCCCGCCATTGCGGATGCCCAACTGCTTGAGAATAGCACGTCGGATCTGGCGACGCCGTAAGGGCCTGAAAAACCTCAGGAGTGCATCGAGTCATGTGCCGGAGTCGCATGACATGCCCTCGCTCCGGAGGGTGTACCCGAGCACGTTTCCGAGCCCGAGGTGGTGCAGTGTGAGTGATGGCCAAGCAAGGAGGTTCCTGAGCAAGTGGGACCGGCTCAGGTTCAGGAGGTGGCCCAGTTTCACAAACAGGAGCTTGTAGCAGCGGGACAACAGGACCAGGAGCCCATGGTAATGGATTGGGCGACGGGACCTGTTGCATCGTACCTGTAAAAGGAAACACACATTCGTCAAACCGCACATGGCGGCAGATATAGGTTTTCCCACTAGATAGATCCATACATCTGTACCCCCTATAGGACGGTGGGTAACCTAGGAAGACACAAGGGGTGGAGCGGTACTCTATCTTGTGCCGATTATAAGGCCGAAGATAGGGGTAACACTGACACCCGAAGACACGAATGAATTGATATGGTGGAGGCTTTTTGTAGAGACGTGAGTACGGACTTTCAAAATTTAGAACTTTGGTTGGTAGGTAATTAATTAGGCAAGTGGCAGTTTCAAACGCAAAATCCCAATATTGTTGCGGGACGTTGCCTTGGGCGAGGAGAGCTAACCCGGTTTCCACAATATGGCGGTTACGGCGTTCAACTCTCCCGTTCTGCTCGTGCGTGTAAGCACACGACTGCCTGTGATTAATACCTAAAGATTGAAATGTGACACTTAATTTTCGGTATTCACCCCCTAAGTCGGACTGAATAGATTTGATAGAGCGCGAAAATTGCCGCTCTACCAACACACGAAAAACGTCAAAAACTTTATAAATGTCTGATTTTACCCGTAATGGATAAAACCAGCAGAAACGAGTGAAATCGTCTACGAATAGTACAAAGTACCTATAACCACTAGACGATACTACAGGTGTAGGACCCCATATATCTGTGTAAAGTAAGTCTAACACATTGTGACTCGAACTTGAAATATTTTCTAGTTTAAAACGAGATGACTTGCCGAGATGGCAAGCCTTACATGACTCAATATTTTTGACATTATTTGACTTAACCGGGCAGCTTTGTAGAATTTTATTTTGAACCACG